TTTTGAGCACAAAACTACAAAACTGGGGATTTCTTTTTGTGCTCCTGATAACTAAACCACAAAATCTCCGGCGGTGGCAGAACCCTTTGCTTTAGGAAGGAGATGCTATTTGAAATCCATTAAAAATGTTGTAGCTGTTTCCCGTGTGGATTTTGAGGGTCTTTCCTTATCTTACTCCCGTTTTTGCCTCTTAAAAATGAATGACCCTGTTGTTATGAGGGCTAAGCTTTTAAAATCACTTGTCCCATACAGGACAGGTACACCTGGTGTCTCCTTTTCCTTATCTCCCTGATTAGGGGTGATTCCTTTTTCCAGAAGTAAGGCAAAGCAATTGAACGGGAAGTCTCAGTCAATGGAACAGATTTTTCTCAGCTAACAGGTGCTATGTTGACTTGATAAGAATTAATCATTAATGAACTTAGTTCTCCTTCCACATTACTCTTTTCCCCACCAGGCTTTTGAGAGAAGATTAAATATTGCTTTCCCTGTTTTCTGAAGGAGGCAAGGAACACAAAGGTCTTGCCTTTGCCCTGAAATACAGTGAACTTCTAACTGGAGCCACTGCTGGTGGAATCCCTGGGAGAGATGAGGCACTTTGCATGCTCTGCTCATCGATGGCATGGGGAATGAGGAAAGGGGAGGAGTGGGATGAGCACTTCTCTGACTAATCTGGAAGGAACACGGTGATCTTGTCTCTGATCACTTTACTATATTTATCATGAAGTAAGAACAGATTTTTCCCGAGTTCCACGTTCCCTGGTACTTGCTCCACTTGCTGTTGGTTGTACTGGCGGTGCTGGGGTTTTCCCCCACTGGGTTTGGGAACGCACAGGGCAGGCCTTAAACCCCCTTGGAAATTCCACCCTGCCTTTCACATCCCATGGCTGAGTCCCAGCACGTTCACACACTGTGCTGACCTTGGACCACACACTCATCAAACACCTTTTTTTTTTTTTGGAGAAAATGATGCAATGAAAGGAAACTTTCTCCTGCAGTGGTTTAAGTTACATTCCTACCCTTTCTGGAAGATTCTCTCTTGAATCACGCTTTTGTCCTCTGCATGACCTCAGGAAAATATGCCACTTTTACAAAGGAGCTGTGAAATTATTGCAGCAAGCGCTTGGTAAACAAGAGCCCATCTGACACACCCCAGGCAGCAAACAAACCTCCCACAACAGGCAGAGCTCCCCCTGGGCTGGGCAGCTGCATCCCAAGGGCTTTTCATGGAAAATGAACCCTCTGGTGCCCCATTTCAGGCAGTTTGATGTGATGCAGTGATTTTATATCAGCTGATCCAGAGCAGGGACTGAGTCCTGGTGGGCAATAACCAGAGATGCCCCAGGAACGATCCCTCCCAGGATACTGCAGATTAAAGGGAGTGGGACTTGTGCTGAGGTGGGAGCATGGCAGAGGAAAGCAGAGACAGGCTTGGAACAGAGAGGAGAATTAAAGTGTCCAAAGAACCATCTCCTCTCCATGTGCTGGCTGCTCATGGAAAGGGCAGAATAAGGGTTTGTAGAAAACAAGCACAGTCATGGAATCATAGGATCTCTGAGGATTGCTGAACCAGATCCCACTGGCCACAGAAAAATGCTTTAAAGCCTGCAGCAGCTGCTGAAATTAGGATGAAATAAAATACATTCTTGTTTAGATACTACAAAATCTGTCATCCCAGCCTGTGTGAAAGTTCAACTGCTTCCTTTGTTCATGAGGTGAAGGAGACTTTTGTCAACTCCAGTGTCTGGGGTTTCATTATTCTTTTTAAATAAGGGTCTGTTTCTCAATTTATTAAAAGTCTAAACCCTCTTTGTACTCTTAAGATCGGCTTTTAGCAGCTGGGGTTTTCATTAAAGGTGCTGATAGTTCGTGTGTCATCGCAGGTGACCTTCGAGAACAGTAAAGGGCAGGTTTTGATCCTGAAAGTGAGGGAGGGGAAGATGGAGCTTTTCTACAGGCCTTGTTCCAGGCAAGGGCCCCCCTTGGCTGTGCCTTCTCATATGTCTTCCTTGCAGCCAGTGTCCTGAGGGTGGTTTGAGGCCTTTCCCTCCCTTTGCCTTTCCTACAGTGGGCATAGAAAGAGAAATCCCTGATGTAGAGTCCCACACATTGTCAGCTGTGAGGGTACAGGTCACTCACCGGCCTAGACGTGACTTCCATATGTGCTAAAGGCGGTTCATAACACAGCTCCTCCTCTTCTCCACGTGTGGGCATTTGGGATGAGGCCGTTGCTTGTTAGACTTGGAAAATGTCTGTGGAGGGGCTGGTGAGGAGCTGCCTTTGGTCACCCTTATCACTCAAACTCTACTCTGGCTCCTGTTGGATGCAGGGAAGGATTGCTCCAGGCACTTGTCCCACCAGGGCTGCTGTACTCTGGTTAAACCCACCAGATTAGGTTATTCCTGATCCACACTAGAATGCAAAGAAAGGCAGACCCTCAGTGTTTATTTGTCGTGGAAGGGAAGCTGCTCTTGTGATGGGAATAGCAGGGGGGACAGCCCCGGTGACCGTGGGTGTTCCTGGAGCCGTTGGATGACCCACCCCGTGTTCCCAACCATGGGCAACCTGGGAGAGGGAGCCTGGTGTGACTCCCCACGACAACACCTGAGTCACCTGCCGTGACACAAACATGTTCCTGTACCCAGAGCAGTTATGGCCACAGTGATGCTCCTCGGGGAGCAGGAGGCAGAACTCCACCTCGGCAGGGCTCTCTTGGAGCAGGATGAAAAATCACGGAAGTTATGGAGGAAAACTTGTGTTTCCTCCATCTCGGCAAAGCCAGGCAGTGCACTCCCACATGTTACCTGTTAATTTTATGATCTGTTTGGTACCTTGTAAAACATATAAAGACAAAAGTAACTGTTGCCCTCAAAGCTGTGTAAATTGATGAGGAAACGGCAGTGACCAGCAATAGTTGAGGAGTGTCACAGTTTCTGGGCAGACCACTCCTACCCTTCTGTTAATAATTACCCATGAGGAGGTCCTGATTTATGGCAGGATAATCTGGAAGTAGTAGAAGTCAAAAAGTAAACTTAATAATGCCTAAAAAACGATGTTTTGTCTTGGTTTTGTATAAGTTCAAATGTATCCAGCAGAGAAGTGGAATTAATGGCCTATTCCAGTTGGTTATCCATCCTTCCCAACAGAAATGGCCCTGGCATGGCCAGATGTTGTGGAGGACGTGTTGAGGAGCACTTGAGGATTCCAGAGGGAATCTGGCCATCCCTCCCTCTGGTTTCATGGGCAGTGTCACTCCAGACTAACCTGACCTGACTCATGAGGTCGTTCTCCAAGGAACAGTTTCGTGACATCAGCCTTGACAAGGATGGGGCACTGATACTGCTGTGACATCTGCAGAGCCTGGAGCTGAACCCTCTGGGATGACACTGGAGGGGTTGGTGTCCCTGAGCAGTGCCAGGCTGTTCTCCTCCCTCCGCACATCCCTGCTCTGCTCCTGCAGAACATTTTCTCAGGAACCACTTCCTGAGTTTGGAGTGGTTTTACTCATATTTCCCTTGATCTGAGATCCCCTGTGACCACCAGTCTCCCAGGGAACCCAATCTCCCCCATAAACTGGCCCTCCAAACTGCATGGCTGGTTCTCCAGCCTTGGGTGATTGCAAACCCCTGTGTAACCTTCCCTTATGTAACGTTCCATCATGTTTTCCACCCCTCCCTTTCTGCTTGAATTCCCTGAGAATGGTGAAACACAGCAAAGCCTTTGACCAAGGCTGTTTCCTGCTCTTGTTTTCAGGACATCCACATATCTTCCAATGCAGAGCAACGTGTTCTCTGAACCTCCCTGCCCATCTCCTCTTCCTGCAGCTCCTCCAAGGTTTTCCTTGTCTTTGGCTTTTCCCAGTCAGAGTAAACATGTTTAAGCCTTTACACTCTTAAAAATACACTGTGGTTTGCATCTGCTCTGAGACAGGAGACCAATCCAAGGTGCTTTGTTGGTAGTCTTGGTCCTGGATATTTCCAAGAGCCATGTGAAGGTGAGCCTGGCCCTCTTGGCCACCTTGGAGACTGGGACCTTCTAATAAAACTCCCTGGATGAAGTGATTTCTTGTCTCTCCATAAAATCCTCACCCTTTGAGCTGGGTGTCTTTGCTGGACCCTTTGTGAACAGAGGGATGGAGGGTCAAATTCCAAGGCTAGGGAGAGCAGGGAGCTGCTTCACATCCCCTTTCCACAGAGCAGATCCTGTCTGGCTTCCTGAGCCGGGAAGTGCCCTGGAGGTGCTGTTTAAGGGGTTTTCCCACCAAATTACACACAGAACCAAAGTTCTCTCTGGATGACTTTCCCTTTCTAATGGAGGACAGATATCCAGCAGCAGTAGATAGAACTGCAACAAAACAGCTCCCTTTGCCCCCAGAAGCTGCCATCCTGCTGTGTGGGAGCAGCCTCACGTGCTCATGGAACACAAAGCAAGGCCCTCCTCACTGTACTGCCTGATATCCAGAAGGAATGATAATGATAATGATAATGATAATGATAGTGATAATGATAATGATAGTGATAATGATAATGATAAAATGGTTCAATTTAGGCTTTATCAAAGAGGAGAGAGAGGGAGGACAGAGAAGGCGGTTTGATCACTCGGTGCCCATCAGCCAAGTCATAACCTGAGGCAGGCACATGCCGGTTCAGGGAGAGGACAGGCTGTCCAGGGCTGGAATTACCTGTCTTTCCGTGCCTCTGGGCAGTGGAGCTGGTCCTTGGGAAGAGCTGAGAGGGTATGGACACCTGGCTGGATGCAGGACAGTGCTCAGGGCGCTCAGAGCTGAGTCTCCATCCCATATTTACATCTGAGGAGCTTTTGGCCCTGGGACGTGTTTGTTCATGTAGGACAAGGGGCCAACTGACAGAGAGTAGGTTTAGGAAAGATATTGGGAAGAAAATCTTCCCTGTGAGGGTGGGGAGGCCCTGGCACAGGTTGCCCAGAAAAGCTGTGGCTGCCCCTGGATCCCTGGAAGTGTCCAAGGCCAGGTTGGATGGGACTTGGAGCAACCTGGGCTAGTGGAAGGTGTCCCTGCCCATGGTAGGGGGTGGGAATTGGATGGTCTTTGATGTCCCTTCCAACCCAAACCGTTCTGTAATGCTATGACAACACTGGCATTGGTACCTCCCATAATTTCTGAGAGCATTCAAATATTGATAAAGCTGCCAGAAATCCATTTAAAGCATCTCAGAAGGTGGGACAAAGCCGTAAAGAAAAAATATTTGTAACAATTATTACACGTATCAAGTGGTGCCTGATTTGTGCTTTACGACAACCCACGTTGTAAATCAGCTTTTGGGACTGGGGTGAGCTCATCCTGGGCTGCAGGTAACTCTCTGCAATACAGCAATAAAAACTCTGCGTATGTCCCCGGAAATCTCTCGGGGCTGGAGCTGCTGCCCCAGTGACCTCCCGCACGCCCAGGGCCTGGCTCGCTTCCCAGCACGGGCTGGGATGTGATAAAACACGCTGGATCTGCTCCCCGGCTCCCTGAACTCTGCCCCTGCCGCCACAGCCGGGACTATTTGCATATTAAAAGCAGGGGGAAAGATAACAGTTAAAAGGCACCCGGTAGTTTGCCAAACTACGGAATTTCTGCGGGGCGGGGCGGAGGAGGAGGCTCGGGAACGCCTGTGCCCTGCCTCCTGCTCCAGGGTATTTAACCTGGGGAGTCCTGGCTGGGGCCACAGCTCTGCAATCTTCAGCAGAGCACACATCCCTCCAGGGCACATCCCTCCAGGGCACAACACACCAGGACATTCCTCCAGCTCCCATCCCTCCAGGATATCCCTGAAGGACACATCCCTCCAGCTGCCATCCCTCCAGCTGCCATCCCTCCAGCTCCCATCCCTCCAGGACACATCCCTCCAGCTGCCAGTGAGGGAGAAGCAGGCGTGGGGAAGATGAGCTGCAGCAGGTACCCCGTGGATGTGAAGGCTGTTGGCTTCATGCAATGCAGAAAGCAGAAGGTATGTTAATTTTTATAATTTTTGGCTTTTTTTTTTTCTCCTGAAATATATTATAAATTAGGAAACTAGAAGGCTTTGGACTTACTCTTCCAGGGGTGTGTTTGCTCATTCCCCACAGCGTTGGGATTAGGAGCCTTGGGATCTAGGATGAAAGGATTTTTGTAATGGGCTTAATACCATAAGAAAATTGTTATGTTGGATTTTACTCTCCTTCTGTCATAGCACCATAAAATCCTCCTGATTTCATCTATGATTACCCATTTGGAGCCCTAAAATTAAGGAAATATTTTTGTGGGTTTAATGTTTAATTGAATTTTTTAATGTGGTACTCAGCCTGAAGCCAGAACTAACCCACATCTCAGACGGAACACTGTGATTAAATTGCACTTCTTTTCCCTTTTCTTTTCCCAGAACTACATGATGTTTGTGACTTGGTCAGACCAGAACAACATTCTCATCTACCGGACATTTGAAGACTTTAAGAAATTCCATGTAAGTGAGTTTTCAGTTCCTGAAATGTCAGGATTCCCATCCTGGGGAGGGAAAGGAGCCCAGCCGTGTGTCAGGGCTGTGAGGAATCACTGTTCTCTCCTTCTCCTCTCTTTTAGAAAGAGCTGAAGAGAAAATTCCCCATGGAGAGTGGCTCCCTCAGGAGTTTACCCAGGTTTAAAGGTAAGAATAAATCTCTGACGGACCAACAAACATGTGAGTGGACAGGACAGGCATAACTGGGGACACAAACTGAAGTCTCTGAGTCTGACCTTCCTCTGGAACAGGTTAAGAGCTCTCTCCTGCTCCTGGCACAGCACCACTGGGTTATATCAACATGCTTGTGTCTAGTACAGACTTAGAATAACCCAGAAAGGCTTTTTTATTAGATAATTGGGAAATTAGTGTTACACTTTAAATATTTGCACAGACCTTCTTGAAATATTTACATGTGAAAAAAAGATAAATTTTAGATGTTAAAAAAATTGTATCAGGAGCTATTAGAAGGGGCAGAGAAGCAGGGACAGTGACTTTGTACAGTTTGGGACGGGGCAGGAAGGGTGGGGGGGGAGGACACCCCGTGTTCAGGCAAAAGATGCTGCTCCCAAAGAAATCCAGACCCACTGTTGTCTTACACCAGCTGTGCCCTTGTTCTTTTAAAGGTGTGATTATGCAGCACAGGAAGGGTGGGAAGCTGAACAGGTGCCTGGAGATCCTGAAACTTCTGGAAACCTACTCCCAGGAGCTGCTGCAGATGGATGCGAGGATCTCCCAGGGGGGAGACGTGAATCAGTTTTTCAAGGCACAGACCCAGGACCTCGACCCCTCCTTCCCTGAAAACAGGTGTGAAATCTGGGTTGTCCTTTTTGTTTGTTCATGAAGCAGAAATGTTATGGAATGTGGGTAGAAGAGAAACACCAGTTACAGGAGGGCAGCAGAGCAGGTGCTCTGATCTGGGTTTATGTTGTCTCTTGTGCATAAAGCTACTGCATAAGTGATTTTACCAAAATTAAGGCTAAACTCAACCTTCCACCTGAGTTTTTGATGAGAAACTTTGCTTTGCAGTGTTGTGATCATGCCATCAGAATTTAGAAGGGAAAAGAAGCACCAGCCCATCTCCATCACCCTTCCCCAGGCGTCCCAGAGCTACCGCTGCATCGAGAGCTATGAAACCAAGGACACCAAGAACAGGACGTTCACAGTGGCTCAGAAGGAAATTGTTGAAGTGTTGATCAAGGACATGACTGGTATGTTTGAGGGGATTCTTCAGTGTCAGGGCTGAAGGGGCAGGTTGATTCATAGCCCGGCAAATGCCAGGGTAGTGTCAGGAGTGCACGTGTTTGTACTTGTGTGCCTACCTGGGGGGACAGTGAATGTCCCTCCTGTCTCTTGTGTCCCTTATCCAGGGATTATGGTCATCTCTCAACTTGCAGGCTGTTAAAAACTGGGTGTTTTGCTCTTTGTAGGGTGGTGGCTGGTGGAAAATGCAGACAAGCAGATTGCCTGGTTCCCAGCCTCGTACCTGGAAGAGCTTGATGTCCATGAGGACATCCAGAGCAACTACAGCTCAAATGAGGAGGGTAAGTCTGCTCCTGGCTCTCTGGGACACCTTCAAAAAATGAGTTCTGCAAAACCTCACCACTTTAACCACTGCTTGGAGTCCCCACCTGGATCTCTGGAGCTCTGACTCTTCTGTTCAGCTCTGCCATGGAATCACAGAATGGTTTGGGTTGGAAGGGACCTTTCAAGGTCATCCAGTCCCACCCCCTGCCATGGGCAGGGACACTTTCCACTAGCCTACATTGCTCCAAGCCCCGTCCAACCTGGCCTTGGACACTTGCAGGGATGGGGCAGCCACAGCTTCTCTGGGCAACCTGTGCCAGGGCCTCCCCACCCTCATTGTAGAAAAAACATCTTCCTCGTGTCCAACCTAAATCACTCAGTTTGGGGTCCCTGAGCAGCCAGTCCCTCTCATGGACACTGCCCCACAGCTGAGCTGCTCTGTCACAGGGTAGGGGCACTTTCTCCATGGGGCAGATCCAACCTCCTCCTCCTCCCCCAGGCAGCCTGTACTTCGTGGTGCAGCCCTACGAGGCGCAGAAGGCGGATGAGCTCTCTCTGCACAGCGGGGTGGTCGTGGAGGTGCTCAGGAGCTCTGACAACGGCTGGTGGCTCATCCGGTAAGGAGGCTTTTCCAAAGTCCTGCCTCCCCAGGGAGCTGGTTACCTGCTGCAGCTGCTGCTTGCCCTCTCCTTGCCATTTGGGTGCATCCCTGAGCTGAATGTCCTTGGCCAGGGATGGTTTCTCAGTCCTCACACCCCACGTACAGCATGGGGCTGGGCCCTGCCCTGCTCTGCTCCCTCCCCTTGGTCCGAGCTGGCCGAAGGGCTCCTCTCAGTGTTCCTTCCATCCCTGCCCTCAGGTACAATGGGAGCACAGGCTACATGCCCTCCATGTGCCTCCGGCCCTACAAGAATCCTCACCACAAGCTGCAGACCATCATCAACTCTGGGCTCAACGTCTCCACCCCGAACCTCTGCTCCTCCCTGTCGGCCCCCCAGCCCCGGGGACAGGCCATGGCACAGCCCAGGGCACAGCCTGGCTCTTCCTTCCACCTGAATGAAGAAGATGGGAGCTCTCAGAGGAGCAGATCCAGGTCTCTGCCCAGGGCCAGCTCCACCTCGGACCTGGAGTCAGAGAGCTCATCCCTGAGCTTGGGCAGCAGCAGCGAGCAGGGCATCCAGCTGAGCTGGAAGCCCGACCTGTCCCGCTCTCTACCTGAAGTGGAGCAGAACAGGAGCTCCCCTGCCCTGGCCACGCACAGCACCAAGTCCCCACGCCTCACCCCCAGGGACAGGAATGACTCTGGCTTCGTGGAGTCGTCTGCAGCCGACCTGAGCTCGCCCCTGCCCGACCCCGACCTGGCCACGAGTGTCCCCAAGGTGCCAGCGCGGCCCTCGGCCCACGAGATCCTGCAGAGGTGCAGCACTGTCACCAAACGGGCCCTGCAGGGACACAGCCCCCGGCCAGGCCTGCAGCCACTGCTGCCCAGCCTGCACTAGAGCAGGGACAGGGGACAATGACACAGCCCGGGTAGAGCCAGGCACCCCTCACCAGAGCCCTGTGGGAACATCAGCCCTTGGACTGTGGCTTCCCAAGGACACCACTGGATCCCAAGGAATACACCCACTGACATCCATCCCCTCCTTGGGCAGCACCGATTCCTGCTGCAGCGTCACAGGGAGACTGGGAGCCAGAAGGGAGTTACTGGGAAAGGATTTAGTGGTTTAACTCCTCAGGGGAGTCAGGGCAGCTGCGGATCCAGCAGCTCCTAAGTTAGAGGTCACTTGGAATTCAGTAAGTTCTCCCTCCTGCCATGCAGCATGTGAACAGTTGAACATTTCACAGTCACTGTTGCATTATTCCCCACATCAGGTGAGCTGCAGCCACCCCAGAGGGCAGAGAAGTGGCACCAGAGTGACTCAGAGTCACCAATGGCAGCCCAAGCTCCAGTTACTGGACTGTGGGAGGGATGGGATGATGCAGCTGTGATGTCATTTACCTGAACCTCATATTTAACATAGATATATATATATATATATTTAAACTGTTTAGGTTTTGGTGTTGGTTTAGGGTTTGTTTTTTTACAGCTTAGATCAATTTAGGTAGTGGAGAGGCCATCAGATGGATTGGCTGCATCTGCTGAATGGCTGTGCCAAAAATCCTGTTGGGGAGGAACCTCATCCCTGGCTGTTCCCTCCAGCCGTGGCTGTGCAGACACAGGAGCACAAACAGGGCTGTCACAGCTTGTGTCCCACCTGGGGACAGGGACAGAGGTCACTTTTATGGACAAAACATTCCCCTTCCAAGGGATTCTGGCAGTTAGCAAAACTCCCAGCAATTCTCATCCTAAAATCATTGCTAGATTTGTTAGGTGAATAGTTGTAGGAAAACTAAAGCTTTTCTATACATTTCTGGCTTTGATTGTAGTTATTCTCCCTGTTAATGTTTTTTAGAAACAACTTGTGAGATGTTTGTGTCGTTCTGAATTTTATACATTTTTGTCTTTGAAATAAAATACATGTAAACATGTCTGAAGTCTGAGTTTTACACCTTAAAAATGTGCTACCTGGGGAATTAAAATCGTGCTTCTCTCCCTCTCAGCTGCTAAATTTGGGGTGGGCATGGGTGAGAGACCTGCCTTGGTCCAGGCTGCACTTTGCTCAAGCAAAGTGATCGACACCCAGGGCCCAGCTGGGCTTGGGGACATGATATGACATTGCCAGGAGTGCCTCTCAGCTCCATAAAGTTTTTAAATCCCAGTAAAGCCCAACTACTTGTTGGGATTCTGCTTTTCCTCCAAACTAAATGATGTTTGAGTGTCTGGGCCTAAAAACTCAGGGTGTGAAAATACAAACCAGAGCTTGGCCAAAGGAACGACCCTTTCCTCTCATTGGGCCCCGAGGAGATTGGATGCTGGGCTTCTTTTACAAATTAACATTTAAAAATTTATTATAAAACACAGGAACTAAAAATACAGTTATCATCCTGGTGGGAAGGAGCTCAGGCTCCCCCCCTTTGGAAAGAGGAACCGGTGGGAGGAGGGTCACAGGGTCCCGTTGTCCTGCTGGGCCGTGTCCCCCAACCTCATGTGCTGCCACATGAAGTCGATGAACATGGAGGCCTGGAGCAGCCGGCTGAGCCTCTGGAAGTGCCTCTCTGCAGGGACAGGAGTGATCAGGGCAGTGGGAAAGAGCTCCCTGGAACAGGGTGCAAACGTTTCCCACGTCCACAGACTGTGGAGCCAGGCTGGGAGAGCTGGGGGGGTTCAGCCTAGAGAAGGGAAGGCTCCAGGGAGAGCTGAGAGCCCATTCCAGGGCCTAAAGGGGTTCCAGGAGAGCTGGAGAGGGACTGGGGACAAGGGATGGAGGGACAGGACAAGGGGAAATGGCTTCCCACTGCCAGAGAGCAGGGTTAGATGGGATATTGGGAAGGAATTCTTGGCTGTGAGGGTGGGGAGGCCCTGGCACAGGTTGCCCAGAGAAGCTGTGGCTGCCCCATCCCTGCAAGTGTCCAAGGCCAGGTTGGACATGGAGCAACCTGGGCTAGTGGAAGGTGTCCCTGCCCATGGCTGAGCTTTAAGGTCCTTTCCAAGCCAAACCATCCCAGGATTCCGTGCTCCAGGCCACGGGAGGACACCCCAGGCCCGGCCCCGCAGCGACTCACCCGTGTAGGGCAGCAGGGACTCCACAGCAGGTTTAATGCCCGAGAACTGCAGGAGACTGTCGGGTGCCTCGTGCTTCAGGAGGATTTCCAGGACAGCCTGGGCCTCGTGGCAGTTCCGGGAGTTGGTGTTCCAGGTGACCAGGAATGCCAGCACGGCCTCTGTGAGGGAGGGACACCCGTGTCTTGGGTCTTACAGAGGTTCAGCTCCCACAGACAGTGACTGACGAGCCCAGAGGGGCAAAATAATTCCAGACAGAACCATTCCTTGAGCCATCACACCCTAAATGTGTGGGATGATGAGGCCTAATGTCCCTGAATGTCCCATGGCAGGGGATGGAGCTGGATGAGCTTTAAGGTCCTTCCAACCCAAACCATCCCATGGTTCTATTTTATAATTCTTAATTTCAGTTGAGAAAACAAGCCCCTGACCTGGAAGCTTTCAACACTCAAACCACATTGTGACAAACCTTTCTGATCCTTCCGGAGCCGAACAATGTTCTCTTCCAAGTGCTTTCTCCCCTCAGGTTCCTTAAGGATGGCTGCAGAGAGAGAAGGGAGAGTCCAGGCTGAGAGCAGGGAGACCACTGGTTATCTGAGGTGATTGCACTCAGGAACACGGGAGAGAGAGAGGGAACACTGAGGCTTTCAGACTAACAATTAGACCTTGGAGCCTGGAAAGAGTGTTCTGGAAAGCAGAGGGCAGGAAAATGCCTTTGGAGCACGAAATGGACTCACCCTTGACCACCATCAACACGGTGTGAGGCCGATCCAGGGAAATGGCCAAGCCCAGGGCTCGGAGGTACCTGTGCTCATGGAGCAGGTTAGAAAGCTCTTGCTCTCTGAAAAACAAATCAGGGTCGAGAGTGAGACCAGTGTTTGAGTGGTGGAAACAAACACTGCACAAAAAGCAGCAGATTTGGCAGTAACAGCGTGCAGGGGGGTCACACCAACGAGTCAGTGGTGCTTGTCAATAAATGCCTTGGTGCTCCCACTAAATACTGGGATTAGATGGAGCTGGATGGCTCCAGGTGTGGGCAGTTCCACTGGACAGTTTGCCTTTCGCAGCTCTTAATTGCACAAGACCAACTCACTTCATAATCTGCTCCTCCTGTTTAGCTTGTGCTTCTTTCTCCTCAATTTCAGTGACATCCTATAAAAACAGGATAAAACTTTATCAAATCTTGCTTTAATACACACGGATTTTTATTGAGCCATCGAGTGCTTAGGAGATCAGGTTCTGCAGCAAGATCTCTAGGCCAAGTAATTTAAGGGTTAAATCCAGCAACTCCCAACTTCCCTCCAAGCCACCAGTGCCTGAGGCTGCTGAGCCCCATCTGCTGCTGGGGAAACACAGTCTGGCCAAAAAAAATAACCCCAAACCCCAAGATAAGCCTTACTGACCCAATTCCAAAGTGCAGAAAATGGGAACACATGAGGAACAAGCCACTGGCATCCCGAGTTCTCCATTTATCCTGATTATTAACCCCGAGAGGAGTCAGGACCCCCCATGCTATACCTGCCAGAGTGTGATGCAGGAGTCACTGGAGGCTGTCACCACCATGTCATCTTGTTTGTTGGAGTGAAGACCCCAGATTTTATCTTCATGACCATCTAATGTCTTCACACACTCGTTTGTTTTAATTGTCCAGAGTTTTAAGAGACCATCAGATCCACTTTTGGAAGAGGAACACAAAACCAAAAAAAATAATCACTGGACAGATTCATTCTTGCTCTGCCCCCACCTCAAATATCAGATAAACTTGTCCCATTCCAGTGCCTTCCAAACAGGAGCAGAATTAAACAAAATGTGCAGGGCAAGATGCATCCTTAGCTCTGCCTCCTGTGTGTCCCCAGCCCAGCAATGCACAGCAGATAAACAGAATCCACGGAATAACTGGAGAAGAGGATTCATTCAGCCCCTGTAGAAAGCTTGGCCTAAATATGGCACCTTCCTATCAGTCTTTCCAAGGACTCCTGGGACACAAGACTCTTCCCTCTTGCTGCTGCTGGTCAGCCAAGAGATTCCCTCCTGACCAGCTGTGGATCTCCCCCAGACCCCCGGGACAGGCACAAACCTGCTGAGCAGTTGGGCCCCTCGGCTCACAAAGATGATCTTCAGCACTGAGGCATCGTGGCCTTCAAAGGTCTGGGAAGGGGAAAGGAAGCTCAGTTTCCAAAGGATCAACGCCAGGGCTTTGCCTGGAGCAGGGGCAGGAGCTCTGCTCACCTTCAGGCAGCTGAAGTCCCGAAGGCCCCAGAGCTTCAGGGTCCCATCTGCCGAGGAGGTGGCCAGGACCTGGTCCACGGGGGAGAACTGCACGCACCAGATGCCCCGTCTGTGCCCTGAGAACACCCCCAGCAAGGAGCAGTCGGAGCAGGACCACAGCTTGGCCAGCCTGTCCTGCGAGCCTGTGGCCAGCAGCTTGTCATTGGGGGACACTGCCACACTGTTGATGTCCTGGGGAGGGAACAGGAGCACAGAGCACTTCAGCCTTTGCTCTGGGAATGACCAGAAGGGGAACACAGGAGAGGGAGATTTAAGTGCCAGAGGCACGTTCTGAGCTCAGGGGGAGCCTGACCTTGTTGTGGCCCTTCTCAGTCACTCTGGCATGGAGGGTTTCTGGGCTGGAGATTGAGGCTGCTTTTGCTTTGGAAGTGAGGGATTCCGGGATATTCCAGATCTTGATTGTGCAGTCCTGGCTGCTGGTTACTACAAAGCTTTCCTTCATTCTGAGAGGAACAAAAACATCGAGGAGGCAAATCAGTGGCTTCCCCTGCACAGGAGAAAAGGCCCTTCCCCTCCACGAGCAGGATCTCCACAAAGGGACAGCCTGACCTGGTCTGTGTTACCTGGAGCAGGCGACAGCACCCACGCCGTGGGCATGGCCCAGCCCCTGTGCCACACAGACCACCCTGCCAGCCTTGCCCATCCTCCAGACACGGATGCTCCTGTCCTGTGGGGGAGAGCACAGAAAATGCTTGATTTTCTGACAAGAGATCAGATCCCTGGGCTCTCACCACATCCCCAGCCTGACTGGTCCCGAATTTTGCAGCTTGAACCTTTGCCTGCCTTTGTCAGAGCAGGTGAGGACCCACAGCCAGACAGGATAAACCTCCAGCCTGGGGTTCCAGAGTGGAGATTTATTTTGGGGTCTATCAGACATTTATTTTTGGGTGTATCAGGGCAGTTAGCACCTTTTCTTCCAACACAGAAGCTCCCATCAGTCCCACACTAACAACTTCTCTGATCTCTAATTCCAGACCCAGATGCCTGGAGAAGGAACCATCTCCTTCAGGCTAATAAATACAATTGATTTCCCAGGGACAACATTAAAAAGGATAGTGAAGAACCTTATCTTTGGGGGATGCAGCAGACAGAAATTGTATGAATAAAAAGCCCTTTCCAGAGTGCTAAAAGTGGTACAATATTGCCCATAAAGATCAGTAAAGTGAAGAGCTGCGTTAAATGAAGAGCAGTGACACACCTTGGCACAGGTGACAAACATCAGGCCTTTTCTGAAGACATCCAAAGCCATAATTGTTTCTAAACAGAAGGAGACAAAACAGATGGATGCACAGAAATACTGCAATGGGACAACAGGAATGTGTGAGTTAATGAGCCCACTGTCCTGGGGACAGGTCTGGGACACTGGGACAGGACATTCACAATCCCTGTGGAGCGAGTGGCACTCACACCCCTTCAGCTCCAAATTAAACTGATGTCACTGCCAGTGACAGGGACAATGGGATATATCCTTTCTCCACACAACTCCCAAACCTGTTGTGATGCTGCTCAAGGGTTCCAGCCTCCACAGGAGCTCCAAGAGAAGCTGGACAAGGGAACCCCTGCCCCTCTCCCAGCCGGGTCAGTGCTGGCACTCACCTGTGTGGCCGTAGAGGATCTGGCAGTGGGATGTTGCCAACTCAAACACTTTCAGCTGGGGGCTGTTGGTGGCCACAACAATGTGAGAGTCACCAGGGCCCAGGAACTTCACATCC